CATTTTGCTTCATGATCTACACAGCTCTTATTTATTTTTCTTTTCTTATTGAATTGTCTCTAACCTTCGGTTCTTGCTCTCAATCATAAAGAAACTGTATCTAAAGTTTATCCATTAAATAATAATGTTTACTGTAGGTTTTGTCACTTTTCTTCCTTCCTTACTTTCCTTCCTTCCTTCCCTCTCTCATGTTGTGTATGTATCATTAGTATGACCATAAATGCCAATTTGCCCAGGCAAGTCCTATTTTATACTTTACTTGGCATTTATCTATTGTAGTATTAGTCTTGGACAAAATATCAAAATTGAGAAGATAAATTATATGGTTATTATATTTATAACCTTTACCAAGCTCAGAAAGTTCTTCTATAATCATAGTTTGACAAAAGTTTTTATCATAATTAAATGTTGAACTGTATCAACTGCTTTTTCTGTATGAACTGAGGTATAATAAACCATGTGTACATTTACAATAAATTTTCTAATTTTAAACCATCCTGAATTTCTGGAATAAAATCTACTTCATCAATGATATATTATCTTTAATATACTTTAGATAAGGTTGGATATCATTTAGAATTAACTCATAAATAAAAAGGAATTATATTTTTATTTTCTTGTGTTGTCCTGGTCTGGTTTGGAATCAAGATTACAAAAGTCTTTTAAAATAAGCTCACAGTACGGATCTTTTTCTATTCTCTAGGATAATTTTATTAGAGAGAATTTAACAACTTTTTAAAAGTGGAAGAACTCATCTGTAAAACATCTGAGTCTGAATTTGGGGGGGTATCGAGAAGAGGGCTTTGACTGAAGTTTTAGCTTGTTTAGTATTCACTTGTATAACCAAGTTCTCTATTTCTTCCTGTGAAAGTATAGATGTTTTGTATTTTTCTAGGAATGTATCTGTTTTATCCAGTTTCCAACTATATTATGATATAATTATCTGTAATTTTTATGAATATATTTTATTTTATAATGATAAATCTGATCTCTGATGGGTTTACAGTATTTCCTTTTTTATCCTACACTTTGTGTTTTGGCATTCTCTCATTGCCTTTTTTTCTTTTTCCTTGATTATTCTTGCCAGAGGTCAAACTTACAAACCTTTTCAAAGAATGAGATTTTGCTTTTGTTTATCTTCTCTTTTGTTTTCCATTTAACTTATATCTACCCCTATTTTTGTTATTTCCTTATTTTTTGTTACTTAGGGTTTACTGTATTGTACTTTAAAAAAATGTTCTTGATTTGAATGCTTAGGTCATTTAAAAAATATTCTGACCTGTGCTCTTACTGCTGCCTCAGCAGTCAACACCCCAGTTCCCACACACATATCCTAGGTCAAGCCAGCCTTCAGTCTACCCATGGGTATCTCATATTTCTTGTTGTTTTTCATTTTATTTTGTTAATATTAGTGCCTGGAATGCTATTGTTTCTCTTGAGATAATTTTAAGAGAAGGAGTTAGCAGTCTAGGCTCATTCAACTAACTTCGCAAGAACTGGAAACTAAAAATTATTTTTAATGGTTATATTCAGGCTTACAATTTGGCATTCCTTTCAAGAAGTTCTCTCCCACTAATAGAATCCTCCACTCCATCAGGTGATATTTTAAAAGTCAATATTGATGAGTTATTCTATTTTTTAAGGAAAGGAACACAACTTAAAGACTTACATTTGTATAACAAAATCAAAAATATTTCTGTCCAAATTCCAAGTTTTCAATGAAGTAATGGGATATATTGATAGACTGAAGTGCTTTCTGAACCCCTGAAAATCTAAATCTAAACATTGTCAAAAAAGCATAGGTTATTAAGGGTCTAATCTCTTGAGTGTCCTTATCTCACTTTAAGATGCACCATGCATGGGCTGTGATAATTAGTAAAATTACTCTTAGGTTTACAAGGAACAGGATTATTAAGATTTTTCCCAAGTAGGAAAATCTGGCCTACAGAATATATACATCAAATGACAGAAAAATTTAACTTAGGTAAAGCATTTATTTTCAGTTTTCAACAGTGGAGTTCATCACATATACCTATGTCTAAATAAAGACCTAATATAAAATTTGAATCGGAAAATAAATCACAATAAAAATACATTTCTATTTTATGTTGTGGGTTGGTTAAATAATAAAACTTTACATCCAAAGAAAGTCTGATGCAGTAAAATGTCTATCTACATAAATATACTTATTTGGTATTACCAATAGCTCTGAGGTTAGAGAGCAGTTATATAGTGTACATTTAAATACAGAACTTGAAAAGTTATATAACTTGCTTACTCTGACACAGCAGAAATTTTTAGGTCTGGGACTAGAGCCTACATCTGATTTGCTTATTTATTTATTTGGTAAATTTATTAATTTTCCTACCCTGCTGCCAAACAAGAACAGCAAGGAGAAGAAAGTTGGGTCGAGCCAGCATAAAAGGAGAAAAAAGAAAAATATTTTATCTAAGGAACTTCTCCAAAACACATAATATTGTGTAAAATGTTTATCTTTATCCAAATATAATCTGTGATCAAAGGAATTTATTTTCTAGAGTGTTGATGCCTACAGAAAGAGACTCGATACATGGACCTAAGAAACAGGGATTAATAATATATTCTTTATTAATGCAAGCTTGTAATTTTTTAATAGTCAAATATTGTCTATTATAGTTATAAAATATTCACATTTCTATCTAAAATTGCAAAGCTGAAATAGTCTTGCCATTCTATCTTTTTTCCCCTTTAACAGTGCAAACTTTTGGTTTTTGGTTTAGAAAGTGAGTCATGTGTAACTACAAAAGAAAAGATATTTTTTATAGATGTGTATTTATATCCCATTGTTCTTTTTAAGATGTAGCAATTAAAGGTTTTAGAAAATCTTGTTGCATTTTCATATCCAGAGACATAAATATTACTAAACAATTTTTATAATATCCCCTTTCCTATTTCCAATAGGATCTTACTCCCAAAGCTAATAAAACTTTTTAAATCTGTCATTAGTAGCTAGAAGAGGGAAGAGAAGGGAAAAATAAAAATGGAAATAAAGGAGAAGTCAGGAAAGAAAAATGAAGAGGACCAGCACGACATATTTTACTAAGTGTTTTGAAAACATTCTTATTTCTTGCTAAAAACTTATTAGGTAAATTGTCACTATCCATTTAACAAGTGAGAAAACCATAGCTCATAGAGGTTAAATAACTTTATAATCTCACAGGAGAAATGTTGGATTGGAAATTATAAAATGAATTGTGATAAGTCAACTGGAAAATGCCCAGCAGGCCATAGAACAGAAATGGGCCATTCCATGAAGTTCTAAAGAGAGATACCACTGAACTGAGGCCCTGCAATTGATGAGAGAGTGAAACGAGATGTAGTATATTATAGTTGAGTCTCCCAGGCTCAGGATTGGCCACACAAATAATATTCAGACCATCATGGACACTCAAAAAATGGAAGAGTACCTACTTCAGGATTATGAAAAAAAAAATCACTTGGCTCTAAAAGAGTCTTCTACACAATAGTCTTAGGGTTTTATTTTGCTAATTGTCTCGAAGGGTAAATATAAGTATATACCATCATTTTAGTGTAAGCCTCCCTAGGAAAGGGGGAAAGGAAGACATATACCCCATCTAAAGATGGTCTCTGGATGCTTTTCATGGGTATTGAGAAACAAAACAAAAATAAACAAAAAGTAAAGCCCTAAACTATAATTAAACCTAAAATTTCAAGAGAAATAAGAGTTTAATAGAAAGTAATCTGCAAAATTATATTAATAAATATTAAGCTGCATAGTTACTAATGTATACCAGAGTACATTTCTACTTTTTTTTCAAGAAAGATTCACTTTTCATTTCTGCAGGGCTTGCTGCTCAAGTTAGCTGGGATGAGAGCTGGTGCAAAGATGCACAAATGGGGACTATTCTGAATCTGAAGGAGGGAAAGCATGCCTTTGTGGACTGGACCTACAGAGAATCCCATCAAGAAGAGGTGTGCAAATTATACTTAGCTTTTATTGTTAGGAGATGTTGACAACTATCCCAAGTAATATTAATACAAAGTATTTTCATATTTGCTAAAAGCAAACTGAAACCTTATTATCTTTAATTGATATTTAGTTGAAATCATCTAATCTGTTTAGGTGTGGAAATGACACCTCACTCCTTGAGTGTTCAGAATCGTGTACAAAAGTAAAATACGGGGAGGATCACTGCAGGGAATGATGAAATGATGATGTCAGAAGAGAAATAGTTAATAATTTCCATAAATATTTAAATAATAATTATTTACACCAAGCTTTGGAGAGTACAGAGATCTTTCCTTTCATTAAAAGATAACACATGATCTAAATATAACTTAGCATTAGCCCAATGACTCTCTATGAGAAAGACACAAAAATGAAAAGATTAAAAGTCAAATGCCACATGGTAATTAATGAACCATTCCAAATTTTTCTACATAACTTTATTTTTTTTTCTAATCAGGTAGTCTATACGTGTGTACATGTTTGTGTGAGTATGTGTATACATGTGTGTTGTGAATTTTGCTAAATTTAGAAAAATACCTAACTCGGTGCCCCACTACAGTATGCATGGATAGATACTGTTCAGGTATTAACTTTTAAAAATTACCTTGTGTATGTTATACTTTCAGCAATTTTATTTTTCTGTCACCTTAGAGAGGTGTAAGTTGGCAGGTCCCAAACGCTAAAATTGTATTTGAATAACTTATGCCTGGTATCCTGTATCACAGACCTGAATACTTATTAATCTGAGTTTGGACATGATTTCCTTATCCACATTAGAAATTTCTTTTTTTTGTCTTTGCCAATAATTTATTTAGTATAGGTTCACACAGCTTTAAATAAAAGGATAGCAATATTGCATGAAGAATAGAATCTTACTCCCAAAGCTAATGAAATTGTATTGAATGAAATATGTAGGTGGACGGTTGGACTTGATCATATCTAAGTTCTCTTCCATTTCTAAGATTATATGATTGAAACCCTTTGAACTTACCTAAATATTTTGGATAAAAATATTCCTAGAAAGAAAAGAAAAAAAGATTATCTTAGCAAACCTATATTTCACTATAGAGTTAAAACAATTTTAAAATGTATTTTTATTTTAAAGATGCAAACAAATTACATATAACTGTTATTTTCACATTATAACTTTTTTTCTATAGTAAAATATATCAGGAGTAGATAATTAATAATATTAAGCTAATAAGATGCTTAGGCTTAAGTCGATATTGATCAATAAAAATCATGCTTCAAAAGCTTCTAATTTGAAAACAGGTTCAACTGAAGCTATTGCCCCCTTTTTGTAAATCCTTGAATTTTTCCATTATGATTAGATACCCATTTGACACATTTCATGCCGTGCTGACTACACACACCAGATTCAATGTTGAATAAAACTGACATCATCTAAAGTGAACTGAAGTGTACTTTTATCTTTTAGCATCATAGGTATAACTAATACTTTACTTATTAATTGGTTATGTACCAAAGTTCGGCTGTAAATAAAAATTGGGACTAAGAAATGCACTTTACCAAAGAGAGAAAAACGTTTAAAGTAATTTCTAATGGGAAGGTTCCCAAGCTGATTCATAAACACCTCCTTAAGCCATAACATTTAATACACAACATTAATAGCATGAGAACACCTCATGAGAAACCAATGTTTCTACACAAAAATGTACTCAAGTACAAAAAACATAACTTCATCCAATACAGAGTCAAAGTCCTCACTGTTACCTCCTCTCATATATAAACCCATACAACACTTACCTACTAGTTTTAAGGACAGGATCTTCCACCAAGTATTTCAGACAGCAGTGTTGTCTTCTACTGACCAAAATCCAGGAGGATAGGCAACAATGAATGGGTTCAAAAGGAAATTATGCGACAGTGAAAGAAATATATTAGGGGTAATGGAGAGGTAAACAATAGGGTAGAGACTGGGAATGAGGTCTAGAGTATCAGGGATGTGGACAGTGAGTGGTTAGGAAGAGATAGAAGTGAGAAGTAACAAATGTTTTTTTCTTTCCTTTCATTCCTCCCATTTCTTCCTTTTTCTCTCTATCATATCTTTCTCTTCTGTGAATGAGACCAATGTCAAAATGAGTGGAGGAGAGGACGCACATTAATGAATTTCCTTTTTTCACTATCTTCTCTTCTCTCCATTATGTCTTCTACCTCACTCCCCATTTGCTACTCAGAGACTAAGCCAAAAGAACATATCTACAGTGTTAGAAATACATACACAAGTATTTATGAGTGATATAATAATATGGTATCTCAGGCATGCAGATTTGCCTTAAAATATTACAGCAAAACAAAACAAAATTAGAGTTGATGGGGTAGAGAATAGGCAAAATAAGTGTAGCAGATAGTTGATCATTGTTGATGTGAGAGGAAGGTATATTAGGATTTATTATATTGTTCTGTCTGGTATATATTTTAAATTTTCATAATAAAAATAAATGTATTTATGTGCACGTGTGTAGGTCTATTTCTTACAAAATAAGAATACTCTATTTTAGTGTGTGTAATACAATATTTTAGTCTTGCCAATGGCTTCTTCACAAAAGCAACAAGACTGAGAGAACATTTTGATTCAATCCCAGAGAGTATTAAAAATGAATCTTTAAGGTACCTTGGAAAAAAATTCTTTGAACCTACTAGAGTAGGTGGAGGTAAAAGAATTAAAGAAAACACAAGTTATTACTGTCTTAAGTAATTTCTCTAACTACAGAGATTGTTCTTTCTTGTTATAGAGATAGTCTCATGGTCCCAAGAGCCATGACAGAGGTAAAAGAGGTACTTTGTATATGTTTTCTCCCTCAGTTCATCTCAGGAAAAATATCTGAGGTAACCATGAAGGTTATCAAACTTGAATTCTCAAGGTCATCCTCACCTTAATATTTAGAAGCACTATTTATATTCCTGCTACCCGTAGAACATGTTAGAGAATATCTTCTCCTAGGAAATAAGAGGACTAAAAATAAAGTCTAGGGGGTCCCATATTTCTGTATGATATATAAGGGTCTTTATGATTAGATTTTTTAAAATAACTTGGAAACATTTATACACTAAAGATATAAGTTCTAACTCCAGGGATGACTGACGATATAAAATGGCTCAGGAAATTTCCCAAGGGTTTATGGAATAAATTAAAGTATACCCAGGAAACAGAGTACCAAATGAGTTCTTCAGTAGGCATTTACTGAGTACCTATTATGTACCAAGCTCTGGATGAAAGCCTGATTAAAAATGCCAATGAAGAGATTTAATGAAGTATAGTGATAACAATGCAATCACATGTGCCTGAGTGCACGTGTGCACACGCACACATTATACTTGAGATGCCTTTCCCCCTCACACAATACTACCAAATTCTGGATGGGAGAAAGTATTTACAAACCATGAGGTCTACATTATTTGCTGATAATGAGGTATAATTGAATTATAGTTTCATCAGAGCACAGTGCTTTTGGCAATAGTGTTTTCCTAACAAGCCCACCTTCCTTTGAAGGTACTTCCTCCTGAAATGCTTCAGTGGTTACAAGTGGAATATAACATACACAATTATTAAATTTAAAAAAGAACACAAGAGAACAAAGACTCAAGCTGGAAATGTTCTGTCTGTAATTGTATGTCCAGGTACGTTAACATTAATTTTCATGAGTTCTTACCGTTTCAGGGTTATTTTCAAAGATCTCTCTGGCTTCTTCTTTATTGCACAGTTCTTCGATGCATTCTCTTTCAAGATTACCCTCTTTGGTTTCTTCAAATATAGAATTTGCACGACGCTTCCTAAGCAGGACTTGTGAAGCATGTTGCTTTGACAAAACTAAAGGAAAATTAAAGTTTATATGAATAAATCTTTCATTTCTCCACCTAAAATGTATTATTTTATTAAAAATTGAGAATTAAAATCATTTTATGTCTGTAAACTGTATGACATTTAAAATCAGTATAGTCGAACTGAGAAAAAATTGCAGATACACAGCACTTTGGTTAAAAATTCAAAGAGCAGGTTTGGTGTGTAGCTACCGCACTCATATAGTGATCTACACAAATTATTCAAGTTCCTGCTTGAGGTCAAACATAGCAGACAATATTTACTGTTTACTCTAAAACTACATTGGAAATAGCATCATGTTGAAATGACTATGTCAAAAGTCGGAGCCATCTTTATGCTAGATTAATAAATTTTTCAATTTTAATGGAAAACTTACATGATTAAGGAGGAAACTGGGAAATGCAGGAGTATAGTTCAATTAGCTATTTAAAAGCTTAATAAGCTAACATCCTTACTTATTCATACAAACAGGAAAATAAAAATTCATGGCAAAAAGGAGACCACACAGAAGGCTCCTGAATCCATAGTGACTAATCCTGTCATGCCCTCGATGACTTTCTTCATTCTCTAATGAAGGGCATTTCAATCTCATCAGAATACTCCCATTTATTTTTACCCCTTGACACAGCGGTCTATATTTATAGTCCCCACATCCTCTCCTCCCATTCTCTCATATGTGCACACCCATCAGGCTCCATGACTCTACCACACTGCTCTTATCAAGTTCACGATACTAACTATAATGGTAATTTTACATGACCTACCAGCAACATTTCACAGTATTGGTTATTCCTTCCTGGATATAACATTTTAACCTGGCATACAGGTCATTGGGCATTCTTCATTATTATTATGTATCATGGGCTAGGCCCTACTCATCTCCTTTTTCTGATGTTTTTTATTGGTTATTTGGAGTTTATTTCTTGGTCCTCTTCTCTACCAACGTTCACTCCCTTGACAATCTCATCCTCTTTCATGGCTGTGTCCTAATAATACATTATCTCTCCAGCCCAAGCCTCCCTCCTCACTTCAGATCATATGTCCAATTGGCTACTGGACATCTCCACCTGGATAACCAATAAAAATCTCAGTCATGGCAGGATAAGAGTGAACTTTTAATTTCTTCTCTCCATATGACTGGCTCCACTTGAAGAAGTTGATGGAAACTTCTAGGTGTTCATGCAAAAAAATTTGAAATAATTTTTCATTCCTCTTCCCGCCTCTCACATCCCCATTCCACATCATCATGAAATCCTCTCAGCTTTCTCTTCAAGAACTATAGAAAATAAGACCACTTCTTACCACCTCAGCTGTTATTTCCAGGAAATCTGTTTTCATTTTTAAACTTCCATAATTAAAATTAATAAAACATGTCCTTTAACCAACTATGAGCCAAGATTAAAAAAAAACAGGTAATACTATCTATAGCAGTTGAATATGTGAAGATCAGTTTTGATAAAGTTATTGATAGTTTGTGGAACTTAAATAATTAATGTTATTCTTTGTGACAAACCACTATGTATGTACAAGTTTGTCCACCTTTTTTCAAAAATAATTAATATTAAAAATGTTTAATGTATTACTTTTTCTTATTTGGTAGTATAATATTTGTTTTATTATTTAAAAATATTTAATGGCAGCATTATACAGAATATCAAAAAAAAGAAGGCAAAGAAAAAATTGGTAAGTTTGGCTACACAAAAATTTTTAAATAGCTGAATAACAAAAATAACATAAAATTCAACATCAAGCAACATATTGGAGGAAAATATTTGTATCATATAGAATAGAAAAAAATTACATCCAGAAGTTATAAGCAGTTTTTGCAAATTAAAAAATAAATAAATAAGGATAAGCCAAAAACAAGAATCTGTGCAAAAAATTAAATTCAAAATAATTTAAATAGAATAAATAAAATATAAACAAAACAATATAAATAAAATCATATAAAGATCACTACATAAAAAATTATATGGGCAATAAACATATGAAAAGATGTTCAGCATAAATATTTTTGCCTATTAAATTTCCAAAAATAAAAGACTGATAATATCAAGTATTGATGAGGGTAAAAGGAAACAAGTATTCTTGTACATTGGCGGTAAAAATATAAATTGGTAAGCATTATTGAAAGGTAAATTGGTAGTATCTGAAAATTTAAAGCACATATACACTTCAACTCAAAAATTCTACTTCTAAGTTTGTTCTACAGATATGCACTTCTGCTGGATAAGGCAATGCATAGAATGTTTATTGAAAGATTGCAATATTTAAAAAGTAAAAACAACCTAATAACTATCAAGAAAGGAATGAAAAACTAAGCTACAAAATACATCTATATTGTGGAATAAAAAGCAGCTATTAAAAAGAAGGAAGATATTTTTGCTCTGAAGATCTCCAAGATATATTAAGTTAAAAAATGGAAACTGTGAACTGACACACCTATAATATCATCCTATGTATAATAGCCAAACTTGTAGAAATATAAATATTATGTGGACAAATACATAGAAAAGATGGAAAACACACTCAAACTACTAATTATAATGATAGTTCAAGGAAAGAATAGAGAGTATAAAGTTTTGGTTTTCTTATTTATTATAAGAACACAACATAGTTTTTTAATGAAAAAATTTCAAAGCACAAATAAAATCTACAAATAATTTTTTAAATCCAGATTTTAACCACAATTGGTTCTTTCATTAAGATGAGCAAGTAATACAAACAGCTAAATTTGTTTTTCTCTTATTTCTTTTACTACCTGGTAATTAATATGAAACAAATATTCAAAGTTGACAATAGAAGGAAGAGAAAAAAGCAAAAAGACTAATTAATCAACAACCACAAAAATTGTTATTTGAATAATTAAACATTTTTTAAGGGTTAAATAATGTTACTTTATTTCTCTTACTTTCCAAAACAGAAATTTAAATGTGATAACTAACTAAATAAGTGTTTGACTCTATCTCTTAACCATCTTTATCATTGCTCATTAAAATAAACATTAAATCAAGGCTGTGTTTAAAGGATGCTATCTGTTAGCATGCTATGTGCCAAGTGTATTACTGACTGATAAATGGCAGCCCTATAAACAATGAAAGTCTGACATGGGCAATTATCTCACTTATTTGAAGTAGTTTTAAGCATGCTACTTTATAATAAATACATCAAAAACTCAGCCCATCTGAACTTCAAAGCAAATATGTGAGTCTTTCTGGGGAAAATAATAACACTTTCTTTGAAAGATGAATACGCTGATCCAATAACAAAAATAATCAAGGTCAAACGCACTTAGGAAACAAACCATAAACATCATTCTTTAATTTCTCCCGTATAGAATATTGATATTTAAGAATATCTCTTACCTTCAAGGGCCCCTACTGCAGACACAGACCAAGTATAATAACACATATTATATTCATGTTTGTGAAAGGGGACATTTTCAACTGTCCGGGGAGAACCAAGGCATGGTTTAAAGGAATGCCCTCATAAGTTTATAAAATTAGAAGGAAACATAATTACTCCCATTATTTCAGAGATGATGAAACTCAGGTAAAGAGTATGCAAAATATTTGCCTTACGTTATAAAGCTAATAAATAGCAAAAGTATGACTTAGATCACAGACATCTCAATGCTCATACCTGTGACCATCCATTACTATTTGATGCTTCTCAGAAAACGGGCGTAAGTTTCTGAGTTGACTGATGAGAGGAACAGTAAAAAGGAAAATTGTTACGCCTCTGACCTAAAAGATAATGAAGCTAACAATAAAAAATAAATATTATCTAAATTTGAATGTTTGTTTTATTTTATCCAGGTTTAACCAATAATGCTTCAAATTGGCATGGTATTTAATAATTTTCAAAGTATATGTTAGTTATTTCATTTGATCCTCATAAATAATGAAATAAACTAAAGGATAAAATTATCACCCTATTTTTCCTATTAAAGATATTGGAGTAGAAAGAGGTTACATGATTTGCCCACGGTCATAGAGCTAGGAAGTAGTGCTAATGGGACAGGAATATAAATATACCTATCATCTTCTTAGTCTACTGCTCTTTCTTCTGTGTGGTTTATCACTCAAATGCCCACAATGTTCTCAATTAAAAAAAAAAAGAAATTATGTGGTTGTGGAGTAGACAAGTTTGACATCTTAAATAAGACATTTATTGTCCTTTATAAAATAAACCCATCTATCTAACAGAGTGGGCTTTTGAAAGAGTCTACTATTCCTTTGAAAGAGTCTACTATGTCAAAAAGATATAAACAAGACATCACAGATCCAACTAAGAACTACAGAACTGTAGGATGAGACAAATATGTGGTTAGAAGTGATTTTAACAGTTGACTCAAAGTCTGTCTGCCCCAAATCATCCACTTTACTGGCCTGCAGGAATGTCTAGAAAGTTCCATTATTTATCATCATAATAGCCATGGCACATAAGCAGATAAATGATGTTTTTGCATTATCTCCTTTAATACTAATCACAACTGTTCCAAGTCAATAGTAAATTTCCCATTTTATACATGAACTAAAACTCCAGGAAGTTGAGTTTAATTTTACCAAGTTCACACAGCTGAGAACAGAGCCAACCAAGCCTGACTCCAAAATCTGTTCTCTTTTTGCATTACCACATTCTCTCTCTAATCATTTGTTGCACTTCTTTAGAGTGAAGTTTTTCAAGAAAGTCCTTGCTAAAATCCAACTATGTTGCTTGAAAAGTGTTACATTCAGATTCAAAATTTTAGGTTATAATGTTTAGTTATGAATCTTTCAAGATTAGAGGAATGACTGAATCTGCTTGTTTTTTAACTTGTCTAAGCCATCCCTTCTTCAGAATAGTGACCATATCAGGTTGAACAATTATCAGTAACATAACTATTATTCAAACACTAACTGGAATTCTCTTTTGAAACTGTCTTCACAGCCTTCACATGTTTCCTTCAATATTTTCTGTGGGAGCAAATCTTTGGGGGTTTTTTT